GCCCCAAACACAGCTCCGTGGGTCTGGCTCCGCGCCTCAGGCCGGCCCGCTGCCCCGCAGCCCAGCCCAGCCCAGCCCACCCCGCGCCCCGCCGGCCGGCCGCGTGTCTCCTGACGTTTGTGTTCGCAGGTTGGCCCGCGAGGCTGTACAGGACCTGGTACATCTCGGAGATAGATGTCAAAGGGCCGCAAACCTGCAAGCTAGCGAGCGCCGCGCAGGCCTCCGGAGGTGGGCATGCAGTCGGCTCCGCGTCCGGGGCGCTCGCTCGGGCGCGCGCGCGGGTGCAGGCGGGGACCGCGCTCTGCAATACATCGGGCTTTCCTTCCCCCCCACCCCCACCCCAAAAAAAAAGAAAAACGCGGAGTTGTGAGCGCGCCTTGCTGGTTCTTGAGTGTGTTCACTTGGCTTTCTTCGTCCGCGTGTCCGACCCGGGCGGGCGGACGGTCGGAGGCGCCGTTTCCGACCCGTCCCAGAGCGAGACCGTGGGCTCCAGAGAATATTTTTATGCAGCCGAGTTGTAAACGCTTGTAAATTGGAAGTTGGAAGTGCTGACGCACGGGCTTCAGGCAACCCAAACCGAATCTGTTGCAATCTCTCCGGCTCCCCGAGCTCGGGGGACTCGGGGCCGCGCGCTCTGGGTGTCGCTTCGTTAAAGAAATCCCAGCCCGACTCCCGAGGAGGCTCGCTGCCTCCTTATCTCCTCGGCCAGTTCCAGCAGCCTACGCTGATTTAGGTCGAAGCGTTGAATTAACGCTACTGTTAATTAGCATTATTACTAATAGCAGCGTATAGGGGGGAAGTGGTGGTGGTAAATGTTCGCACGATTAAAAAAACCCCTTTTCTCCCTCATTTGGCGAGCTGAGCCCTGGCACTCCTGTCAGTCTCTCCAGGTTTCGGCGCTGCTTGTGACGGGAGCAGTTGAGTGCTCGGCATGGGAGGCCCTTTCCTACTGAGTGACCTCTATTTTTATTTTTTAAAACCCAAGGAATATCTTTGTTTCGAGGAGGAGTTTTTGCCATGGGCATGTGCAAGACCTGGGGCCTGACTTGTGTTTGCATTCTGCTGGCTTTACCCCGGTGAATTGGGCCTCGGGTACTTTCACGTTGGCGAGGGTGTTGGAGCTCCTGAGAAGCGTGACCAGCGCTCGGGTCGAGGCTCCGGACACGCCGGGACGTGGGTGGGTGGGTGAAGGGGGCTCTGGTCCCACTCCCTCTTGGAGTGGGCTGGGCTAGCTGGCAGGAAAGGGATCCTTCATGGCTCTCTGGCTCTTTGCAGATAGCCCGGCATCGTTTGTTCTCCGGTTGCGTTTGCTATCTCCTCTGTGCAGCCACGAGGACGAGCCGCCTACCTTCAAAGAAACAAAAGCGGGGTATTCTGATGTAATCCCTTGATTTGGCCGGCTGGGGCCACGGGCCGGGGTCAAGACAGTGTTTTCCCTGGGTGTTCTTGTCATTCTGCTTTTTTTGGAGTGGGTGGGCAGACGGGGATGGGAAGGCCAGTGGAAGGGATTCCCGCATCAGTGTTGTCACCTTGTCGGAGCTAAGCACCTCACCTTGAGAAGCGTAGGTGGGAGCCGTGCCTGTTGCTGTCGGCTCTGTTCTGAAATGGAGCCAGGGAATGTTCCAAGGGAGAAGCCTCCAAATGGCTTGCTAAGATGCATCTGGGAGGTAGATGTAGGGTTTAGCCAGAGGCTGGGAAGCAGAGCCGGGGCATGGGCTGGGCCAGAAAATACATTTTGAGGAGCAATTACAAAGGTGGAACTTCTCGAGTGCATCATTTGGCAGTGAAGTGGAGAACACCCTGTCCATCACGGGGGGCCTCTGCAGGAGTTTTGCATAGTAATCAGGGTGGGGAACCGCTTGCCTTAAGCATCCTTCAGCTTAAGAAGCATTACCTTAATTCTTTTTTAATAGGGGAATATAGGACCTTCTTTTTCCCCAAACATAGTGAGCCTGTGGGCTTTGGTTCTCGTTGGCTAATTCCAACCCGGAGGTGTCTGTCACTGATGTTTGTGCACTGACCTCTGTGGTAGTCCTTCTCGCTAGGCAGTGGCAGGCCATGGAGGGAATCGGAGTGAGGAAAAGTTGGCCTTTTGTTCATAGGATCCATGCTGCATCTTCAGAAATAGGCCTGGTGCAGAGGTGGATAGTTCCTCTCTGCAGCTGTAGTTTCTTGGGAATGTTTTAAAATTTGGAGGCTCCAACAGTCTAGAGCAGGGTTGTTGCAGTCTCCACCATGGTGATTATTTTTTTTCTAGATGTATCCTCCTTCCTTGATATCGCTACAGCGCTTTGCTTGATTCTTACTTTTGTAAAAAGCCCAGAGATGCACTGTGTGTCTGTGCGCTAGAGTCAATGGAGTAAGGTTCCCTTCTCGTGGTGGCTTTCTGGCTTGCTGCCTTGCACCGAGGCAAAGCCGAACCCTTTACTGTGGCTTTTAAGTGGCAGGGACACGCTTCCGCTATATGAAGGGCAGACATTTTTCTATTTTAAAAAACCTGTTTGAGGAAGCCGGGTCTGTTTAGGGCTTAATTACAGCTCTTTTTGCGATCAGAAGTTTAACATTTCACATTCTAATGCTTGCCTTTCTGTTTGTGTTTGGCTTTTTCCAGGCTTCAGCGAGCTAAATGGCAATGCAGGAGAAGTATCATTAAAGGGCCTGTGTGCTGACGAAACAACCAGCCCAGCTTCCAGGGTACCCAATGGCAGCCAGCAACTCACAGACACTAATGTGACCCAAAAGCAGACTGTTAAGGCCAGCACCTTTGGGAAAGCCGGAATCAAAACCAAGAACTTCATTCAGAAAAACAGCATGGACAAAAAGAATGACAAATC